AATTGGTCATTACCCTGGTACACCTAGTTACACGTATAACATTTGGTTATAGAAAAATTGGTTCTAAAGGTACATTTGGTTGTAAAGTTCCAGGTTGGAAAGATTGCTTTTAAAAGTTCATATTGGTTGTGAAGTTCGGTTACGAAGATGCATTTGGTTCTGTAGTCATCTAATAAAGGTACAGTTGGACACTTAGGCTGTCCATGAGGCACACAGAACTTTTGTTATGGCTTGTTCCAAAGCTTTTTTATAACAGGAGATAAGTCACATGCCCTCACTTTTTGCTGTTCTCGTGACAAATACCTAAAACCTTTAATTTTGCCCAGGCATGTTTCTGCTGCACAATTACACTGGAAATGTACAGCCATGTCATATTCTGTTGTATGGTAATCATAGGTGACGTCTTCTCCTTTCTTGATGTCACGAGTGGCCACCACGTACCAGGAGACCTCGTGGTCTGCGTCTAGGGATGGGTATGAGATTTTGCGGCTTTCGAAGATAAACTTTGCATTAGGTTGGCAGGAATGATTGAAATATGCTAACATTCCTTTGGGAAGAACATGCTTGTTTTCATCAACTTGCACTGTATAAGCAGTTGGCAGATCTAACACTGGACCCCAAAGATCAGTCAGGAATGAACCTGATTTCACATCTTCTACTGCCTGGCAGGACAGGAAACTATCAGTCACTTCAGTGACTGCTATCTTACTTGAATCCATCTTAAGCTAGGGATGAGAAAACAACAAACATGATAATTACTACATGGCCGAGGTAGTTTAGTAGTTCAGTAACAAATATCAGCTAATCAGGTTGCTGTACTGTATTGTCAAAGAGCCCTTTCCCTCATTATCAAGGTAATTTGATTTCTCCCCACCCCCCTCCCCTCCCATCAAACCCTCTGGAAATTCCAGCTATTTTCATATTTTGTTTTGAAAATTTTGGTTTTTGGAAATAAAAGATTTTAATATGGTCAGATTTATGGTTGGGCAAGGTAACAAATCAACTAAAGAATCCTGTTTTTCAGGCTTTAATTTCACAGCTGCTTAAAGTTGTACATACATATAAAGTTCTGGGATGATAATTCATGNGCGTTGTCAAAAAAAAAAAAAAGATTCCTAATAAATTTTGAGCTCCTTGTAACTCGTATTCGTAGCTACTAGTTTTAGTCAGAGACACCCGCGCGAGTACCCGGAGACTTCAATATCTAACTGAAAAAGTTAAAAAATATTACATAGTCAAATGAACAGGAGACAAAAGGCCACGTTCGATATATCAATATTCTAACATGGCTCCGAGGGTCATAATCGTAGATATTTTAAGTTTCTTTTGTCTCTCAATTCCCAAATATTGATATATCAAACGTGGCCTATTGCATTACGTAATCCTTTTGTGTTAAATTTGCAATCGTACGCTTTTCGCATATATTAGTTCAGAACTTAGCCTTTTTTCGCCCGCTTAAATAAGTTTAATTTTAATCCTCGGCTTGTACGGAACGGATCGGAACCTTTTGGACATTTTCGAAGATCGAGGACACTTGGACTGTCAGCATGGTTTTAAAGTTTGGTTCCTTAACAGAATAAATGTTTATCTGATAAATATCAAGTTCAACACACGCATACATTTAAACCGGCTTTCAGAATAATTATGCGATAAGTTGACCTTAGCCGTTTTCTACTCATTTTTTCGTCTTTGTTGTCTACTAATTTTCCCTTCTACTCACCAATTAGGTTTCCTTGTACTTGTTCTTTTAGTGGTCAAGTTTCTTATTCAGTTGCGTTTGTCGAGTGTACTTTGGACTGTCGTCCGACACCGGAGACCCCTTCTCTTTCTGGTTGGCGAGAGATTATAGGGGGATTCCTGCTGACGTCATTGTTTACATTTTGCTACTTTGCATACGGCTTGGCTTACAGAAGGAAATATGTTAGATATGAATTGACTCCAGGCAGCTAAAGAGCTAGTGAAACGTAATACATGGTGAAATTTTTACCTCTTTGGTTGTAATATTCGAGGAGAAATTGTCTTTCAAAAACTGCCAAATTTCTGGGTGGCAAAAGCACTAATAAGCTCATACATTCTTTGTAAAATTTTGAGTTTTTAAACCCGTGTTGCACAAAAAGTATTCAATACATCAGGCTCATATTCAATGGCAGAGTTAATCGAACTATGGCCTGTCAATATCTAGAACTGATTTATTTGTAGCTCCATCAGAAACTGAATTGCTAAGGCTAATGAGCCAAATATTGTAAACAAGGATTCCCCTATATTAGCGTCGACTGATTATCGTGCATCAGCAAACCACGAGCCACACGAAACCCTGACACGCAGTGAAATATTTCGCTATTTTCTTGAATTTTCGGTTCAGTCATCGCGGATTCGTCTCGGCGAATTACTTGAATTCCGAATTTTTTTTTAAATTTGTTACAGAACTACAGAAATTTCGTACAGTTTTATGAAGAACCAAAAATTAATTTGATCAATCTATTGCGTGCTGCGTCAATAGGCCACGTTCGATATATCAATATTCTAACATGGCTCTGAGGCTTTCGGGTCAAAGTTGTAATTTTTTAAAGTTTCTTTTGTCTCTCAATTTCCAAAAGAGACTTGGATACAAAGAAAACAACAATAAATACAGAACTTTGTCCTGAAAGCCTCGGAGCCATATTAGAATAACGATATATCGAACGTGGCCTATTGCAAGCTAGCAACGGAAAACTACGCTTAAGTGTCCGGGGGTACTCCTAGCGCCAGGATCATCCTTCCTCTCAGATAGGATTATCCTAGCAGTAGGATGATCCTAGCACTGGGGCCAAATACAACCCTTCACACGTAAACTGAAAGCTGAAAACATACTGCGCTCGGATGAACCTAGCACTAGGATCATCCTCTTTCCATGTAAACGGGCCCTTAAATACATGAAATCACATATAATAAGCTCATTTTAGTGCATGAAATCACATAATTATAATAAGCTCATTTAAATGCACGCATTGACATATAAGAAGCTTTTTTTTTTTCATGGGCAACCTTCAGGCCAGAAAGTCTATGCAGGAAGTTGAGTTTGGTAGATGTCAATCATCTCAACCTCCTCTTCTCTGCATGAAATGTTAGCTGTCTTTTGGTTTGAGTAACAGGTTTGTAAGCTTATTTAAGCCTAGTTCAGTCAATAACCCCAAGTAGACCAAGTAAAACTCATGCAAAAATACTTTGCATGTGTATCCTAATTACATGTGGTTATCCAAAGTAAGTAAATAATTGAGGTTATTTGGCATGCGAAGGACCTTTGATAAACCCGACCAACGTCTTCTTCAAAAAGGTAATATTTACTAGTGGATTGGCTGGAAAATAAAATCTTGTAAGCTAACGATTTCAGATTTTTCGTGAATTCTTAAGAAAATACAGTAGCCGCGCCGACAACAGAACAAAATTGTTGTTACAATAAGAACAAGATTTAAGAAGCATTGTCTGTTTCTCACTAGCCCATTGTTCCATTCGATTGTTCGTATCGGGTCACCTCGGCAGTATTCCAACACCAGATGTTTTATATTCTCGAGTTTAGACTGTCTGGAATAACTTAGCCTGCGTAGCAAGCGTTTCTGTGGGGTTCGGGAGCAAAGAATCACAGCGCTAAAAATGGAGCGAGTAAAAGAGGGGGGAGGGGGAGGGGAAGGAAGGAAGGAAACGCTTGCAGACAAACCCCTGGATTTTGAAAACCGCCCACTTGGCCT